TTGTCATGGGCATGGCGGGGGGCAGCTCCCCTGGCAGTTTACCAGTCAATTTCCTGCAGAAGGCTGGGGTTTACGTTCAGCGGATTGTCACCACAACAGGTACCGTGTCTTGTTTTACAATCTATTATACTGACAAAAAAAAAAAAAAAAAAAGGGCAAGTGAGGTGCAGGTATTCTTGTTGTTCACTTTGGGTCAACACCCTTACTTTCCACGCTAACATGTTTAACTTTGAGTGTGTGTGGCTTTAAAAGGTAGGGCCTGGCCTGCTAAGTGGCTGTCTCTATTCTTCACCACTTGTTGGAGTATTACAATATATTCTAATTAGCAGAATTAGGCTATATTAAATGCGTTAGCATAGTTGTTGTGGTGTGTCAGTTCATTCTGCTTTGCAGGAGACACAATGCACTTTACTTTTTCTTTATTAAATGATACCAAATTTTGGACATTTTAGGTCTTGTATTTCCTCCACCATCGCATGGAGCGTGAATGTGCAGTAATGTTAGTCAATGCAGAAAACTGATCACTGCAAAGCTTCGAGGCAGAGATTTTGCATTGAACTTTTTTGTATTCAAATGTTTGAGGTATTCGATGAATCACTTCGGCCCTAATATGTATTCTCATGTTTCATGTCTATAAATCTGTAGACATCTTCATCCCGGGAGCCAACAGTACAACAGATGTCCAAGCTCGGATTCGCGCTGGCGAGAGCATCCATGTCATCAGAGGATCTAAAGGTAGATGCAATTCATTCTTTCGTCATTAAATGTGTACTGAGTCCATCATCGGGTGTTTTCTTGTCCACAGGTACTTACATCAGGACAAATGATGGAAGAATTTTTGCAATTAGATCTGGAAAAATCAGTAGACCATCCGCCGCGGGCACCGCTGTTTCAAGAGGTACAAATGCATCTTGATTTATTGTTGTAATTAAACTACGGGTTCCATCTGTCATCATTCTGTGTGGAGGGAGGCGAGTGGAGTTGTTTGTGCGCCAGTGGCTGAATTCATATTTTCCTCATGTTTACTGATGGGGTTGTTATTTTGCAAAATGTCACCTTGGTAATGCAGCATAGCCACGGTGATGCATTGTGGTGGCACCATCATGCTTTTGGGCTCATTTTTCTTCCCCCGGAATTGGAGCTTTAGGATGGAGAGACTTCTAAATGAACACTTCCAAAGTCAGTTTGGTGCCCAAACCTTCAGCATGACAATGATTCCAAGCATACATGCAAATCAAAAGAATATTAACATAAAGAAATAACGTGAGGTGACCAAAAGAGGCCTATGCACAAAAGATGCAGACATTGTTGCTGTTGTATTGCAAGTACCATAAAAAAAAAACAGAGCACGCCAAGTGTCACCACATGTAATATTCTTACAAATTATAGTGACATTATGTAGTTTGAACATTAACACTGCGCCCCAATGTTGGGAAAATTGCACAGTTAAATTCTGAACAGTACTTGGGCAATGATTGTTTCACGTACCACTAGGGTGAGCCCGAATACCACCAGTGAGACCAGTAGCACACTTTGAGAATCATTGCCCCCAAGTCAAAGCCAAGTGTTGTCAGAACGGTGGCTAATATCTTGGAGTTGCATCACGATCTCAAAAAAAAAAAAAAGTTAATTTTTAATGGTTTGTATGTCCCTCTCCTCTACAGATAGCCAGCGTTCTGCGATCCATCCACTCAGTAATGGCTGCGCCTCCCCCGGGGAACAACTGCAGCACTCACCCGAAGTTGACGTCGAGCACCAGTCCTCGTCTCCCTTGAGCTCCGAGATTCTCCGCGAGCTCAGCCACTACACGGCGTCCACCAGCGACGCCACCGGCGGCGCAGGGAACGAACTCTCCTCCCCGTTGGATGCGTCCGTCACAGCTGCGGGAGATGGCGGCAGTCTGATTCCGGACCTCCGCTCACCACTCAACGACGACCTCCTGACTTCGGGCTTAGAGACGCAAGGGGTGAAACGCAGGCATACTGAAAGTCAAAGCGCCATGGCCAAACGGACTCTGGCTCCATCGCATTTCCCCGGCTTGTCCATGAACTCCAGTGGGCTCAGTTTTCCACCAGTGGGTCTGAACTCTCCCTCGCTTTTAGGGAGCCTGGGACATATGACTCACCCTCTTCTGATGGGTGGAAGCGGTGGACCTTCATTCCTTCAGGCACCAGGACAAACACTGGCAGACCTGCAAACCATGTTCCCTTCCGCACCGGGCAACGGACAACTTCCTCCCCCTTCCGCATCAGCTCTATCAACCGCCCTCTCTTCGTCCTCCAACACCATCCCCATATCGTCGGCATCATCATCATCATCATCCGCAACGACATCCTCACTGGCATCAGGTTCTCTGCCACCATACTTGATGAGCCCCAATGTGACGGGGCTGCTTTCGTCAGGCTTCCCTATCAACTACAGCCAGTCCCTGCTCCCAGAACCCCGGATGTTCCCCGGCCCTCTCCTCGCCGGGTCAGCAGGTTTCCACACAGTAAACTCTGCTTCGAATGCGTCCGGCTTCCTCTCCCATTTCAACAATCCCACATCCAGCCTGTTTGGGTCGGCTCTGACCCAACCGGACAGGTATCAGAGTGCGGAGAACGGAGGCGATAGTTCCGATGATGATGTCATAGAGGTGACCGGACACTGAAGACTCACACAGGGGCTGTTTGGATACAAAGGTTAATCATGGCTGATTAGACTGGGGTGCGATTCGACAAATAATGGTTTTTCTGCTAAAAACAACCCTGACTCATGTGAATCGTGTATATCCTCATTGTTTCTGATAAACAGCTTCATTTCAATATTCCATGATGTTCATTTTTTGGCCATTCATTTAGTTGATTGCATTCCTTGTCCCAACAGCGACACAGAGACATATTTCCCTGATCAATAGGGGAATCCTCATGCACCTTTAAAAATGTTATTAAGTCAGTAACACATTTTTATGCTGAATAAAACTGTCTTGTTGGGTTTGCTGTGAAATGGAGCAAGTATTTGTAGCAGCACTCACCGGCCGAATTCCCGACAGATTTTACTTCACACCGCGCAAAATTCATTACACTCACCGTGGCCACGGACTAATTTCACAACCCAAATATTAAAAAACATCAATAAATAAAAATCCACTGGAATATTTGAGTCTGCCAAAAAGTGTAGCACCCCATTTTGAAAAGAGATTGTGGTTCCGTGACTCATGACAAAACTGTAAATATCTGTATATAGCAGTTATTCTCATTGTTTATATTTCAACTTAAATTCATTTCAGGTGTAGGGAGGTGTATAATTACGGCATACAGGAAGATAACAGTTGCATTGTTTTGCTACAGTTTTGGGAGGGGTCACTCCCCCTCCCTTTTTACACTCAAATGAATGTATCTTAACTTGCCCTCAGTGACACACTCTGTGTTCTGTCATTTTTAGCCTTAAATAACACAAAGAGGTCTTGGGTGTCCAGATTTTAACTTGGTACGTGCTCTTTTTTTTTTGTTTGTTACCATTGTGATATCAAATGTGAACATGCACTTGTTTCCTAAAACAAGAACCGATCGAGTCAAAGTAACACTCAGCCACTCAAACGTTTCCCATCGTGGTCCGAGTATTTATTGAATGTCAACGTCTGCATCAGAACATTCGCACTCACGCCCACGAGTGACTGCGGCCGGGCTGGGCCGGCCAGGTGGCGCTGTGGGCTTTGCCACCCAACCAGTTGCAACGGCCTCCTGTGTTAGTAGATATGTCAGTGGTGTGTTTAGATCTCTGCTGCTCTCGAGCCTTGTGGGTTTTTTTTTTTTGTTGTATTGACGCCACACTGATGTTTCGATTTAGGAATCTGTTGAGTCGGTGGTTTTATTGGCCTTTAGAAGAAAAAAAAACAGGAGAGCATGAGACTAAACAGCATAACCTGTAAAGAGTTTTTCCAGTAGACTGGTGGAGACATTTTTTTTTGCTGTATGGTTTTTCTTAAGCCTGTCCTAGAATCTTGTAAAGTGGCTCTGAAAGGCTGATTATGGAAAAGATGCAGATCCCATGTCTATATTTGTACTCTTGTTAGAATTTGAAGTGGGTTATCATTGCTTTATGTTTAACTCTGTTGTTTCATGTCCAGTGGGGTCATTTTTATGGATTGGATATTTAATTTTTTAAATTACTTTTTATAATTTGATCACGTGTTCTTTCAATAGTAGCTTCTCTCATTTCAGTATGTGTAGTTTCTGAAATGTATTTATTATTTTTTTTATTACCTTCTGTTCACTTAGATGGCTGATCCATGCCATGTAGACAAAAGCAGAACATGACTATGTTATCAATGTTATTTTAAAAATAAAACACTTCTATTGCATGAATAGCTTTTTTAATAAACAACACAGCTTTGGCTGGTCAAAAACATAATTGCGTACAAATCAGGTCAATTTAAAGGCAGGACAAAGTGACATCTGACAATCAATTTTGGCCTGCACACTTGACACAACATGCTATTATGTAAGCGTTTGACAAAAAGCATTGTCAATTTTTGGTCCAATCAAGAACCACCCCAAAACCCATTTGAGGGCTTTTGTGAAATGAATTTGTATTCGTGGAAACATGTCACTCAATGGCGGTGTACAGTGAAAAAAAAATATTGTTACCCATATAAATACACACAGGTATATGGCTTTGTGTGTAAAACATAATCCCTGCATACGTGTCAGTAACGGTATTCGGACCAATGTACTCAAGTACTGATACTTGTGTATTAAAAAAAGAGATAGAGAGAGAGAGAGATAGAATCTTAAAGGGGAAGTTAGTCAACAATGTTCTTTACAATAAGTCATAATTTGCCCCACTAGTCTGAACACAACATTCACACACCACAGTGCCGAAGAGCTCAGGCAATGACCACTCGCGATGAACCTGTTTTCTGGGTTTGGTCGTGTAACTTTGGACAGCAAGTGGCAAAATGGCCACCCGCTCAGATTGTTAATGGATTTTTGACTCGACTTCCCCTTTAAATAAAAGACAAAAAGTACACTCTGAAAAACGCGCAAGTACAAAAAAATGAAATTGTTAAAGTCAATTACATCGAATACCCGTTTTGATAACTTAACATGAGAATAAAATCAATTTAAGCACATGAACAAAGATATGTATTGGGAGTTCATTACTTCTCACCACCGATTAGGACTGGAAACGTTTCTTTGCCACGTAAGCACTGGTGACTTGATTCATGATGATGAGGGCACAAAGAATAGGACAAAGTGCCGCCAGGTACCAAGTGGCATCACCAACCGACTTGGTGAACCACCCAGAAGTCAAGCCGAGGAGCAGGCTGACGCTGCCAAACAGGTAGGTGACAAGCCCTGACGTCGCGTGGTACCTCTTGAACTTAGCCAGCGACCAGCCTTTGACCAAAGAGTGGTAGATGAGGGGCACGGCGGCCAGCGACTGGACCGCCACCACGCACACCGTGATCACGCCCAGCAGGCCGTGCCAGGAGGTGAAGTGAGGCTTGCCGTGCAGGTGTTTGTTGTAAAAGATGGCTGCCAGGCCGAGCGCGGCACACGTCACGCAGGCGCATTGCAGCATCCAGTGCACGCGACGTTTCACTTTGTAGGAAAACCTCCTCATGGGGGAGCCGTGGGGTGAGAAGAGGAGGATGGCTTCAGTCATGAAGAAGGAGAACTGGGGCAGAAGAAAATGATACTCAGCTCTGCATTCGTCATTACAGTCAGCGGCCAGCCACACCTGCCCAACCTAATGAGAGCCAATAAAAGGTTCTAGCACACATTCGGCTAGTTACTTTGAGTCTGAGTCTTCCAAATTACAAGTCGTCGCTTGGTCGGTTATTTGCCTTTAGAGCCAAAATTTTAATTAGGAGCGAATTTCAAGCGTAGTGGAAAAGAAAAAAACAGCACAGTGGCAGTCACTGAGGCACCTTCAGCTGTTTATAGAATGCAGGGTGCTACCGGGTGCATTCGGTGACTATGAAGGGCCAGTACAATTTCATCAATAAATATGATAGCACAAATCAGCACATTCTTGCTTTTTGAATATTTCATATTAATTATTATTTTTGCCCACAGAAATGAATCTGTCATCTGCACAGATTTTTTTTGTGCGCTGGGTTAAATGAATTCTCCCATAAGGAATTGCTTGAACAAGACATGAAGCCCAGAAAATGTCTCATGTTGGGGGGGGGGGGAAACAACATACCGGTAACATGCAAACAAACTAAATAAAAGTAATAATGCATTTTCCTAAAGGCTTAAAGAATACAGAATGAGGACACGGAGTATGATTTCATTATTGCGACATCTCATATTATAACGACTGTAGAGGCCCAGTGCCAGTTCTGACAGGGCTATTCTAACTTAGCTCATGGTGGCTCAACAGTGCTAACCACTTATAAAAGCTTAATGTAGGGCCCTGGAATGGGAAATAGAGTCAAATACAAAATGAAAACACTTGCAAGGAGCATGGATCAGACGCGACTACAGAATTAACCACATGGTAAACCGCCCATCTCTGCTTGAATCTGAACTCCTGACGTCTGTCACTGGTCAACAAATGAATACTATTGTGTGATGGTGTGTGTGTGTGTGTGTGTGTGTGTGTTTCACTTACACTTTATAAACCATCCATCCATTGTCTGATACGCTTTATCTTCCTGAGGGTCACGCCCTGAACTGGTTGCCGCCCAATCGCAGGGAACACATCCTTTCACAGTCACACCCAAGGGCAATTTAGAGTGTTCAATTAACCTACCGGCATGTCTTTAATGTGGGCGGAACGTTATAAGACCAGTTGGAAAAACGTCTATAGATTTTTTTCTTTCTCTCTCTCTCTCTCTCTCTCTCTCTCTCTCTCTCTCTCTCTCTCTCTCTATATATATATCAACCACAGGGCGGCCATCGGTACACTATTCAATCAAACTTGTTTGATTTGGCCCATCTTTATTATCTTACCGTGTGAGACAAAATCCGCCCTAACTCTCGCAATGAATATGCTATCTATGGAGACAGTTCATGTGGATCCTTGGGGTATTTTTATGAAAGTGAGTCATGGCCCTGTTTTTAAGAAACCTGGAAACTGTTTTAAACTGTGGAGAAAAAAAAATACATAAAGTGTCTCTTTTAAGAGGCCTTACCACCACTGTTATCTCCTACTCTGCATGCCAAAAAGTGGTACAGTCCTCTTCAGGGAATATAAATACCCCAAAATATTTTGTGTACCATACTGAAACACAACTGTCAACCTTTCGGTGCTGGTTATTGTTTTGTGGGGTTTTTTTTTGGGGGGGGGGGGTGAATGGATTAATGGCATTTCAATTTGTTGAACCAGTTAATGAAAAGACACGTCAGCAAAACAAATACACTTGAACCACTGTACAGTATTTTCATGTAAGATTATGAATGGAGTGATGCATTTAGGCAAATATGTGAACAATTTGTTTATTATAATTTGTGGCTTGCAGAAGTTTTACAACTGCTTTGAATCATGCGTTGCTAATATTTTGCCCCTCTCATCCTGCATCCAGATACTGTACAGCTGCCACTAAAATGCAGTGAGGCAGTAAACGTGCTCTATGTTCCCCATTGATCAATCACAGCATCGTAAATGTGTCACGTGTTACAAAAACTGATTTTGAATCTATCCAACTTACTGCTAGTGTCATGAGAAAAGGATGCCAGGAAAACCAACCTGTAAAAAGTTACACCCACAGGTCAAGTATACGTACAACAAGACATGAAGAAGAACGCGTGTGAAAATAATAACAAACGGTTCACTCACTTGTACCAGGTCGCGCTAGAAGAGCGACGAAGCCCGTGAGGCTTATGCCGAGGAAGTGTGTCAACACTGCGGAAGCTACTCGGGCGAAAGCGAACAGTCGAGGTTCGGCTTCTGTTTCTTTGCTGTGGGCCATGTTCGACAACATACCAAACGGTACAGTATGGACGATTTATAGCAATCCACACACGCCACCGTGTCACCCAGAGTTCCCAAAAGAAACGAAACGGGATAAAAGGTAACGTTAAAGGAAAACCATCGCCATTAAAAGGATAGAGAAGGTCATTCAAGCAAATCTACATGACCAAGAAACGGTCATATTATAGATAAAGTGTGCTGAATGATGGTCATATTTGATATGGTGTGTTGGCAGCGCAATGCCTGGAAAACCAATGGAAATAACTTCTGGTTACTTCCGGTTAGACTTTCAAAAAAAAGCTATTAACGGATATGTATTTTTTCACAATAAAGTCAATTTAAACAGTTTGCGAGTAACCCCCCCAAAACAGTCGGGTGTCTTATTTTATTTTTCCAATTCATTGAAATTGGTCAAATGACTAATATTGTATTTTGTGTGTTTTTGAACTTGGTGTAACTAAGCCCAATAGGTTTGAATTAAGTTTGTTCTCCCTACGCTTTTGTGGGGTTTCTTCCTCGTATATTCCAATATCTTGAATATATTTTTTTTATTATTCATGATTCCACCTTTTATAAAAGACCATCTGCGACAGAACATCTCTTTTACAATGGTGTCCTTGCCAAGATGACAAGCGCTATAAAAATGGGTGGTTCTATGAATGTTCTCTCAACTTTCATTTCTATCTGGAAGTTCATATCAGTATACATGTACAGTATATATTAGAATGTTTAACAAAAACCTTTCGCCTATGTGCATGTTTTTCTGAATTAATGTATTTCTATATTGAATTGCTTCTTGGTGGATGGTCTGCATTCACAAAAATATCAATAAAATTCAGCCCCCGAGGCTACTGCAAGCTTGTGACTATGTATTGCCTGCACACACTTGTACAGACAGTCAACAGATTGCAACTATTTTTTTTTCCCAACTATCCAACTTTACTCCTTAACCTTGGGAAAAGTTTGTCCTCTACAAGATCGAATTTGATCACAAAGGAATCTTCTTATGCATATTAATATTATAACCACCCCATTGAGGAAAATATCTTGCGAACTATGAATGTGCTGTTTTGTAGCATATATGTTATACAATTAATGAAAGTACAAATAATTTAGAGATCTTTTTGACCAATAATTAAAAAAATCGTATTGTATTTGTTATACAACTGGTTCCTTACTGATAACAGATCTGATCTCCATATTGGAGCCTTACGGGGGTTTTCCTCTCTGAGTGATGTCCAAATGGGGCAAAATAAAATATTTAACAGACTTTTAATTTTTTTTCCTCCGGAAATTGAATGTTGTGCATTTGTTATTTAAAATAGGAGAGCGATGATTATTAGCTGCGCTGCATTTAGATGAATTGGTTGCTGGAGATGCTAAATAACAGAAGACGAGACGCCGTGTGTTTTCTTCAGGGATTTCCGACGGAGGGGGATTCCTCTCTATGTTGGATGCTGGTAGGCAGACGGGATTAGAAAGTAATCCCACATGCTCGCATTGTGCATGCGCAAAGTGAGGTGAGTGAGTGTCGCGAAAAGGACCATCTGCGGTGAACTCTTCGAACAAATTGCCTTCTATCGGTCTCCTCTTCACTTCAATCCTCCGGGGATGAATTGATCCCTTAATAAGGTAACATTCTTTTATTTAATATATCAGAGAATGTGTTTTTTTGCGTGTTTCCCTGTTTTTATCCAATTTAATCCGGGTTGTTAAAACCACCGAGCGTTTGCAATTTATGCGCGAAATGACAGCACATTCTAAACTTTTCTTCGACATGTGTTACGCTTTTAAACACTTAATTGCATCCAAAAAAATGGCGCAGGACTACAATGTTCTCTTGTTGGTTGGTATAACTGCACCGTGCAGTGACCCACTTGGCGCTAATAGATCCCGGGTTGTTCATATGCAACTCACAATGCAGCCCCACTGAAAACTATGCCGCCAAGTTCCACACGTAGAATGAGCAGATAGAGTGCACCAAGTCCGTTTGTTGAATGTAGGCAGTCGCTCATACTGTACAAAGTGCATTTAACAATGTATTTCTATCGCTCTCCATATGATGAGCATGCTTTAGCAAGATGTGCACACTTTTGCATGGGGTCACATGTTCTTTAATGACATGGGAGCTAGTTTTTTTTTTTTTTTTAACATTTAGTCGGTTGTTCAGTATACTGTACTTGTTATATATGGCCACCAAATCTGTGAAGGAATCATTGGCTTCTGAGCAAGAGAAATGCTAAGTCAAAAATGTAATCGTCGCTCAGTTAATTGGTCAAATACCGTATAAGAAGCCCATCAATGGATGTTCTGTTCTGTTGAGTTGTTAAATTGAAGGAAGCCAATTTCCGAAATTCCAGTGATATAATTCATAAACTTCTTCAAACCCACATGAGCAAATTCAACATTCCATTAAATTATAATTTATCCGGATGTATTCATTTTTCAATCAGAGTTAACTTGATTTCATTTTAACACTCGAAATTTAATTTATAAATGGATCTCAGCAAGAGATGTTACTATGGCAACATAATCAATCACACCAGCACAAAACGACATATGTTAAAAACCAGAGGAGTAGACTAAATATTTCACTGTAGACAATGATGATGATCGATATGTTCTATTTTCCTACATTTTAACTGATGGTTGCATAATTAATTGTAACATATGTTTCAAAAGAACTTCATAAGCAAATGCAATGCATTAGTAGTTTTCCCAGAAATGCTTAACAGATAAAAAAAAAAAAAAAAAAAAAGCATATTACTCCTCAAAATATTGAGAGATTAGCCAACATCCCCCGAAAAAGCAAATAATTCACACTCATGTTAAAGAGCTACTGTAAATTTTCTAACATTTCAGGGTTGGGACCCCGAAAATCCTCGAATTGAGGTTGTTTTGTGTGTGTGTGTGTGTGTGTGTGTGTGTGTGTGTGTGTGTGTTTGTGAAGTGGCTTTTACTCTTTGACCTGCTTTTCTGTTGTTTTGTCCCCAACATACAGCACATGTCGGTTTTCCAGTCAGTCACAAGCAGTGAATAGTATCGAGGGTCACGTTTGGATTGTGCAGGATTATCCTCATCGTCTTGTCCCACTTTTTGATGTTTTCGCATGAATCCTGATATCAGATAACAGAAGTTAATCTCTTGTTATTATCGCACACGTGACGCTTACATTATAAACGACAAATGTCTCAACTGTGTTGCCGATGCCATAAAAGTGAACGTTTTCAGAGTGGAAGATGTGTCGTGGTTCATGCATTTAAGGATGCACTCTAGCGTGAGCTTGTTCATGATTTCAAGCAGTTGCTTTGTTTCATCTCCTCAGGGCTGGTGGTGACCCATGCTTCTCCGCAGTACATGAAGCTGGCATCCAAGCCAAACCTTGTACTTTTTTCCACCCAAATAAACACATGAATGTGACATGCTCAACTACATTCACGGAATCCTCAAATACTGATGTGGTCTCAAGTTTACGGACAGCGAGAGCTAACTTGACATGCCCGTGACTGGGTCTCGGGCAGAATGTCTAAATGTGAGCTGATTGAGCTGAAGGATCTCAGTGTACATGATCCCATCGAGCTGGCGGCCCCTGGGCCGCGCGCCGCTCCAAGTCAAGCCAGTCACTTCCACATCGTCCGTCTAGTTGGGGACACCGTCAGCATCGAGGCGCCATCCGGAGATGTCGGCGCGGGTCACGACTTCCAGCCCTACGGTCACACTCACCTCTCCTGGTGTGACCTGTGTGGAGAATTCATCTGGGGTCTGTATAAGCAGGCGTTACGCTGCACTAGTGAGTACTCTGCATATCATGTAAACATGTTTCTCTTGAGAAATAAAACCTTTTAGTTATGGTGACCCTGCAGACCGTATCTTACGTTGTCACCGGCTAATTTCATTTAAAGAAGAAAAATAATGATCATGAAAAATGTCATCTATCCTCATTGTATTCTTGCGAGTCCTTCAAGTCATAGTCAGTGTCCGAGCAGCGGCTTTTTGGAATATAAATAGAGCAGTTTGTAGCAATAATCCAATCTACTGGTTTTTCGACATAAGACAGCAACAAAAAATTGTGGGGGAAAAAGCCAAAGCATAAGAAATAAGATTAATATGAGGTCGTAGAACTGTCTGGTTAGTAAATATAAATAATTTTATTTGCCCAACTTGTACCCTGATGATAATCTCTAGTTGTAGTCAGCGCTTAAGTAGAAGCATTTTAAATTTGAAGGAGAGTTTGGCTATCGCAGCCTGGTCATAGATAATAGATTATAACAATCCAACCTAGAGATCACAAAAAGCAAGCAATTTTTTTTCCAATATCATGCAAGTGAAAAGATAGAATAGATATTTGAAAAACCTGTAATAAAATACTGTACAGTTAATAGAACTGGAAACATGGAAAATGCATTACAATCATCCAAAACAAGCCCAATTTGCTTCAAAATTAAATTGAAGCCATTTTCAAACTTTGTGATTTGGTGTGTTAGTGGGATATTGTTGAATAAAATCACATCAGTTTTTGAGGTTGATCTGTCAATAGTTAGCCAAATTGTGCACTGGAGGCGATGACCTATAAAGCACAGAAGGACTAAATCTGCATCAAACTGGGCAGAATGACAGGCCTGTTTGTCATGTTGAGTCATCACGTTCCTGCAAACAGGAGCCCTGTTGATGATGACGATGACGATGATGCATCATGAGAATATGTGTGAGGTGATTTGGAGCATGTCAAAATGAATTCAACACATTTCCAGTACAGTGTAAGATGAAGCATTAGGATCCCACAGCCAAAGTTGTGTTCTCATTCTCTCGGCAGATTGCAGCTACACTTGTCACCAGAGATGTCGACCGTTCATCCAGCTGGACTGCAGTGCAGACAGAGGTTTGCCAGCAGGGCAAATGGATCCCTCAGTTGACTCCATCGAGATGGACACAAATGTGGTCAGGAGCAAAAATGTTTTTTTTTAAAATTGCTTTTTGTTCAAATCAGATGCTTTACACAATTGTTTCTGCATATGTCACTATAGACAAAGCGCCGTACCGATAGTATAGTGCGACCATATGTCCTCCATGGTTGCCTTTTATGCCCTTTCATTCTTTTGTCATCTCTTGTGAATGTCATTAAGGAGAGTGTTGATGAGAGACAATGGCTTGACTACACTCTAGTAAAACAGCTGTTCTGTTGTTGAAATAGAACCTATTCAGGGCTGACATCTGATCGTCAACCACACTTTATTATAAAACTAACATTTTTATTTATTTAAAAAAAATAGCTTTTCTCTGTTGAAAAGAATGAATTCAGTTGAGTTATAAAGATAAATGCTCACATGAATCGTGGAGAAAGTTTTTCAATGATTTATCTTGGTTTGAGGGTTTTTTTCTTTTTTAACATCACAAAAACCTCACATTTAACATTGGGTGTGTAGACTTTTTATATCCACTGTACAACCACAACAGTAAAGGTAGTGTGAAAGTGACCATTTCTTACGGCGATTATTCGCTTTTTAAAAGCAAAATAGTTGATGCAGCGATTGTATTTGATCATTAGATCAGAAAGTACAGCTGTCACGACAAAACGAATGAATGCGTGCAATATCAGAGGCACGCGATCGCTCTCCTACCTCACAATGGACAATAACGTGCCGTTGAACAGGCTGTTTTTTACGGTGGGTTTTTATGGTCAGGGCGGAGCAAATTTTAGTGCGGTGTCCAAATAAGATTGAGGAGAAAAACACTGAGCGCAAAGTGGTTAGTGTCACTGCATTTTCATTTGAGAAGTTGCACATGAACCTTTGAGATGACTTCAGGGAGCAGGGTAGCGCTCAGTGACTCTCCAGCTGAGCTGTATTTTACTGCATGTGAATCTTTCCGTCACAGGGTCAAAAGGGAGATGGTGATTTTTTTTTTCTTTTTTCTTTTCTTTTATTTTTTAAACAAAAGGAATATTTGTTATGTGTTAAGTCTGTTCCGTTGCTTTTTCTAATCTTCAAAAATCCAGACAGATTTTCTCCTTTTACTAAAATGAAGCTGCTGGTTTCTTGTTAGGATGAGCAGACTGACTGGCGCAAACAGGAGTTAAGTGTTGGCGAAGTTCATCAGAAGGTCAAGGAGTACAATGCTCAGATTAACAGCAATCTCTACATGGTGGTGGTGAGATCATTTATTTTATTTTCATTATGGCATCTCTCATTCAGTTTGATGTGTTATTTATGTGGAAAAAAAAAAGTTGAGCATTTTTTACTTCCTGTGCGCTTTTGTTTTTTATTTACAGCCAACAAATAACTCACAATTTATAAAACTTAATTTAAGATTTCTAGGTCATGTCAGTTTTGTTACTAGGCAGATTTTGTATGGCAGATGCTCGTCACACCCACGATGGATCAGAATTGATTGCTCTGCATTAAATATTAAGATACCATACTCACAAAAATGTTAGTACTGTATATTCGGCTTTCGGGGTTAAATGCACTCTAACCTTCACAGCTGAATTTCATTTGTTCTTCTTTCAAATTTTGAAAATGAAACTGTTGAACATAATATTACTTTCAGAATAGTACATTTCCAAGGAGGTCCACTTGTGAGCTTTTGTGTGACTCTTCCAATTCCTCTGTATCTCTGTTGCAACCCTGCTGATGACACGCTGTGTCGCACTAAACTCAGTGGCCACTTCCTCCTCAGTCTGTGAGCAACCTCTTTGAAGCCTCACACTAGTGAGGTAACGCTGATCAATCTTTCGGTGTCGTTTTGGTCTCATGATGCCAAAATGTGTACAACTTGATAAAGAGTGCTGAAAAAATATTGAACACCTGGACAAATGGATTCAAAAGTTTAGAGAAGGTCAGATTAGGTTACAGTGCATTTTGAATGGCTGTGGATTTTGAGTTTATTGGGTCATTTTTATGATTGGGTTAGTTATTTTGAACCTGCAAATTGAATTGAAGATTGGGCTACTTTTAACCCAGCAGTTTTAAAAGTGTGTTGAATGAAAGGAAAATAATCTAAAAAATAACCATCTGTCCATCTGTCCTCCTTTGAAGAATAAAGATGGCTCCTACACTGGTTTCATTAAAGTCCACTTTCAACTAGTCCGTCCCATCACCCTGCCACCTCCCCGGAGCCCCACCCAGGAAGAGCACGAGTACAGCCGGCGGCTGACGCGACGGACATCGTTCTATCTCCCCAAAGACACTGCAAAGCACCTGCACATAAGCTCCAAAACACGGGTACGAGAAGTCATCGAGGCCTTGCTCAATAAATTCACAGTTGTGGACAATCCAGCCAAGTTTGCCCTGTTTGAACGCGCCGACAGACAAAACCATGGTAAGCTCTTTGAATCAGAATAAACAGTGCTCGACTATATTCTGACAACTGTTCTACGGTGTGGTTTGTTCTATTAGTGTCCATGCGGAAACTGAGCGACGACGAGTATCCCCTCTATTTGCGCTTGTGTGCAGGACCAAGTGAAAAGGTCTTGAGCCTGGTCCTCAAAGAGAATGAGACCGGCGACGTGAACGTAAGATCATACGCTAAACCTGATAACGGCTGTAGGTAAATGTACATGTATCGGCAGAGTTTTTTTCTGGCTCAGAATGAGGCACAGGTGACACGATTCTGATCATTCACATAGGCCTTAATGCTGTATCTGCCCAGGCTGAAACCAACACTTTCGCTGTGAAGTCCAGTGGTGACTCGATGTGTTATAAGTGCTTGATATTAGAAACTCATAAACTCTTCTGAACTCACTTCACTGTTGCAGCACTTTGACAAATAGTGAACAAGTCTTCAAAAAAAGAGGCTTCGTGGTGTTTAAAGTCACTCCCAGTTGAAATTTACTGTCAAACTAAACATAAAACCGGAGGAATTTACATGTTGAGTGTTTAAGACAAACACATAGCAGAGCCTTTAATCTGCTAGTTTAATGGTCATGTGTACACATAATGGAAAATGCATAAACAGCGTAACCGTTTAACAACAGATATTTAAAAACAAACGGTGCAGCAACACATTTAAGTGGAACGATTCAATTTGGTTTGATTTGATGGACTCGCATCATTTAAATCAACACCTGTTTTCCAAATGATATCCTTTTTGTTACAGCCTACCTGTTGAGAATGTGTACTTTAAATTGTGTTCCTCTTCACAGTGGGATGCCTTCAGTTTTCCAGAGTTGTGCAACTTCCTACGTATACTACAGCGTGAGGAAGAAGAACATGTCCGGCAGATAGTGAGGCGCTACGCTCGCACCAGGGACATGATGAAGCAGGCCATGGCGAGGATTACTGCTCCTGCTTGACGTTTGGGTGGGTGGGGGCGGTATTTAGTAACAAAGGGAAATTTATCAGGCTTGGAAATGTTTGAACAAAGTTTACTAAAAGTGCAGAGACACTGAATATTAAACCTTTATCTTAATGTTTCTTTGTGAGTAATGCCAGTGTGAATAGTTTAACTGGATTCCTTTTTTTTCTGAGAATAATGCTGCTTTGTTTATATTATTTATAGTTAGTTCAAAATCACATTTAGTGTGTAAACTTTATATCATTGTAGTTTTGTTTAGTACAACACACCTCACCACTTGGCACTTTAGAGAACCTGTGGAAATGCGTGTTTGTGTGTGCGTGTCTAATAAATTTATGATATGTAATCTGGTCTTTTGGTTATTCATAATAGTGACTTGTTTGGTAGTTGGCGTGGTTTAAGTCAGATAACTCACTATAATGTAACCACATGCATATGCTTTTTAATTTTTATTAATTATTAAATAAAGTATGTGTCCCTCATTATATGCAAATCAGTCTTATTCGTGTCAAGTGGTTGGCCTGTCCTACAGGGGGCGGTACGTTTCATCGAGGCGCCTTCATCAGCGATCAGAGAGCGAAGAAGCACGTCCAAATAGCTTTTCACGCTAGCTACCTGTCTTGCTAGGTCTGATCCAATTCACCCAAATTTAGAGAGCTGTTAAGTGAGTGTGTCAAGAAAAAACCGTCAAAAGCCACGCTCGGTATGTTGTCGAGGAAGCTGAATTCCACAGCTGTCATCTTTTGTAAAACGTCACTTTTGACAGGGTCATTCTGTAAACCACTTAAGTGCAATTTGACCTGCGTTAATGTCATACGTTGTCGTGTTGCTGTTGTGTAGTCGTGTTAGTGAGTGGAAAACGTGTCGTGTTGAGTATGTTGTCAATAGCTTTTGTAACATGAGGACAAGTTACTATCAGTTATTTAAATCAAGCCGAGCTAGCCTGGTTAGCTGCACCTTTCCCTCTGACACCTCGGCGAATGTTTTTGAGCTCAACGTAATAATATATTATCATCCTTCCCGTTCCTTTGTTTGTCACCGTGACTTAGTGTTTCAGACTGGTTTCCCTTCAATTTACCATCTTTGATTTACAAAATAGCAATTCAGGATCCGATGTATGCAGCTCAGCTTTCATGCACAGCATCATGTCAACCGCACTAAAATGGCTAAACCTTCTCCCTTGGATCTGTTAGTTTCCCAGGTATCACATCCAGCGTGGTCACATTCAACTGATAAGAGCAACGCCCAAGTGAATTATGTGCTGCAGCTGAAGATGGGTGGTAGCGGCTCCAAATCCAAAGGATTTTGGCCTTTCTCTGGCTCAGGCAGTGGTGACGACCAATCCAAAGATGCAAATGAGCAGTCACTAGCAAGAGCACGAAGTTTCCCTGGCGCAACACCTTTTGTGTTTACCAGGCGAAGGTAAGTGAATTCCAGCTCTGAATTGTCTCTATCACTTGTACGGTACAAAATGCACAAAAATACACTCGAGCCTGGATAGGACTATTTGACAGCTAACACCAAATTATTGCAATTAAATTCTTGTGTTGGTTCAGAAAACATTCACACACATACTTAAGGGTACCATCATTTTTGTCCATGCCCCTTTCTTTAGTGTTTTTTATTTTTTTAAATGGAACCAACAACTTTGTCCATGTGTGTAGTGGGTGAGATGAACAGGTTGTCAAACACATGCATAGACACGCACACGGAAAATTATTCCCACAACAAAACTAAGGACTATGAGACACATTTATCCATGCAAATATTTGAATTTGGCTTACTGAGGGCAGTGACTCAAATGCAATTTAATTTTATTTATTGTATTGAAATAAAGAAAGAAAAACTGCACCATCCAGCAGAACACAATTCCCCTGCCGTTAATGCTGAGACAAAGGTCAAATTAGTTTGGATGTCTGAGTGAGAAATCTTAGCCTCGCTGTTCATTCTAATTCACACAATTTCCCATGTTAATGGATGAGGGTTAAAAGCAAATGAAGTATTTCGGTAATGACATCTAAAAAGTCAAAAGTGTCCTACTCCCTCTTTACATGGCTGTATAATTTTAATAAAAGTAAGGAAAGCTTTGGCCCCCCAGCCACCGTGATCTTGGGCTCAGGAGGCTCATCTTTCTTGCTCAGGCCGTCCAGGGGTCGAATGGGAAAAGCTGCCTTGCGTTCCCCTGCACCCCACACGAATGATCAACACACCTCAAGCCTTTAAATCTGCTCAATTTAGCGATGCTCAGAACCTCACGAAAGATTTACTCTTGCTGTCTTTGCAGCTCTTTGTTCTTCGATGAAGATGGCGACCTGGCTCACGAGTTCTACGAAGAGACAATTGTGACAAAAAATGGCCGTAAAAAAGCCAAACTGAGGAGGATTAACAAAAACTTGACACCTCAGGTGAGGAGGTTGTACGTTGAAGTTCGCGATGGGTATTGGCCAAATTTCCAAGAATGACTGTGGGGGGCCCAAGTTCTCGTGTGACTGTGCACCAACGCCTGCCTCCAGCAACAATGGTGGATCACGGTGTTGGATCTGGGTTTCTGTTCCGTAGCACAAGGTTCTACCTTGCCGTCAGCCTACGCAAATGTATCCTCTCGTGAGCACTTTGAATTTCCCGTCATTGTTCTATGTTTACATTGCACTTGCTTCATGAATTTCTGTGGCAGTGCTACAGTGCCCCTTCAGGCTTGCCGTCTGTCCTACAGCGTTCCAGCATTTGCGTGGACATGTTTCTTGAAACAATTTTTTTCATGCAAACATTGATAAATTCTAAAAAAAAAAAAATTATCTGCATTTTTTTTCCCTTTAGTAACACGGCCTTGAAGATTATCCTGAGTGATTACTCTGGTGTGAGATATGTTGAGAGTGATTTTCTTCCCCAATCTGTTCAAAAATTCTGGGACAAAGATTGTAAATTTTTAACCTTTTCAACTTGTTATAAGTTGTTTGTTTTTGGGGGGGGGCATTCTAAAGATTACTGTGGAAGTGATCTCCAGGAAGAATAGTGATGACATCTGATCAAGCTAATGGAGAGCCTTAAAAAAAGGTTCAAATTCCAAGTACCGGTACTAATGTGTGTGCTCAACAGAGTTTAGCTGAGCCATCAGTATGCATGTACCCCACAATAGCTGGGCCAGGTTATACAAATTGAGAGTGAATCAAGTGAATCGTTGCAGTTTACGCGCCAAGTACTTTGCGCTCTATTAAAATTACACATACTCTTTGTCTCTTGCAGGGAATCATAAAGCTGGACCTCCCGTGCATCCATGTTGATTTCCCCGTCGTCCTTTGTGAAGTCTGACAATGTCCAAGAAGTGTCTCTAGACAACCACGCTTGTGTCAGCGCCGTCCCGAGGTTTTCCCCCGTGCAACCTGGAAACCAGAAACTTTCCAATAACACGCCACACATCTCTTGATATATTTGAAGTGCATCCGTGGTCAAGACGATGTCATGTGAGCTGAGCCTCTGCATGTGATCTGTTGTTTGCGACGCTTTATAGATCACCGATGGGAGAGATGTAGGATGGTGCCAAGTTGGCAAAACGTACTCGGTTTACATGGTGTGTATGCATGTAAGTGTGTTGTTGCAGACACGGGCCGTGTTAAACTCCTGAATTGATTGCTGCAGATTATTTTCAGGTTTGGTTCTCTGAACTCTTCAAGGGGATTATTACCAACTCCTCCCCATTTGTCGTATTATCTCGAGAAGGAAGGTAGTTGCACATTTAAGCATTTATTCTTTCTTTTTCTTTTTAACTTTGCTATGCATGGGAAAAGGATCAGATGATCGATTGTAATAATGAAGGGAGTAGACAATCAGTAGCCCTCCAATTAAACTGAATTGATTCAATGATTTTGGCTCGATGTCACACTGTAGTTACAAGATGAGGAGAGACGTCCGCCGTGAGATCTGAGTGTGTGCTCTGCTGCTTCCGCATTCGATATTTCACATTTAATTTATTATAACTTTTTTTAAAATATATTTTAAAATGCCTCACTGTGTTTTGGTCTTTCTTCTTAGATGTAGAGATTGCTTTGAGTAGTTTCAGGACATCCAGTTCAAATGGGTCACATTGATAAGATTTTAATTCCTATGTAGCATAATGTGAGGAATGTCTGGATTTAATATTTAGTCATTCAGTTTAAATTCCACAACATAAAAGATGAACTTTAATTCCGCTCTAGTAATAGCGTTGCATATGCGTGTAATTTATCGTAACAAAAATACCCATGCAGCAGTCCAAGTGTCTCAAATGAGCTATTTGACCATAATCCAACCTAAACAACATCACATTGCACCTACCTCGATTTTATGCTCTTGACCTCCACTGATGATTAAGATCTGATCCACCTGCAAAGGAAATTGCAAGGCCAAGCAATTTTGTTTCAAGGGCAGGGTTGAGTGAGATCTGTGAAAGTCATTAATGTTGCTTCCATGGGAAAATGCTTTCTGCAAAGCTCCTCAATATTGTTATCTTTAAAGGATAAAGAGATGAATAGGTGTACTGAAATCCAATCCCATTTTATTACTTTTTCCAAAATGATTTGTCGGCATGTCTGCATAACCATCGGCGGAATCACTACAATTACTGAATTGTGTTTACGTCCACAGTACTACAATTACCAACTCTCCACTTTTTGACAGGAATCACTACAATTACTGAATTGTGTTTACGTCCAGTACTACAATTACCAACTCTCCGCTTTTTGACCGTCATAGAATTAATCCTGGCGGATGTACTCTACAAACTGTTCAGTTATCACCATCAACATGAATTATGTATGCAATCTGAGGTTTAGTGGTCAGAAATAAAATGATTTCGTAAGTGATGATAAATAAAGTCTTTTGAAAATGGTTATAATTACAGTGCAGCAGACTCCTAACTGCTGAGACCTTTCAAATCTTCGTATCAGAAGATACAAGTCAATCAGAGGTGGAGTCTACTCGGTACTTATACAAGAGCCAAAGGTGGATTACAACACCGTCTCATTCCATTTCTTTAGTGAGGGCGCCTACACCTGTTATATAAAAATAGCCTCATCTACACAAGAACTCTTGGAGTTATCCTGATTTTTGAGACTGAAGAGGTAAGATATACTTATAAATTTTATCGCAAAGTCACAGGTTTAGACGTTTGATTTCTTATGCCAAAGCAGTTGTTTTATTCATTTGCTCTCAAAAGACAAAAAGGCATACATTTTGATGACATTCATTCAGAGGTGTAATGATCTTAAGCCATGTATACATTTTTGTGCTGTGTCATATACGTACATAGTACATTATATAATGTTTAACTTAGGACAGAAATTCGAATCCGTTAAAGCAAAACAAGTAGAAATCAATTGTAACGTAGGCGCATAGTAGGAACGATTCACCAGCCGCTCGTTTTCTTCCGTCACCGGAAGTTGTTTCCGCCGAGTCTCTGAGTGGACCGCAGCGATTTAGGAACCAACGATTGGCTTTATCTTTAGGGGGGATTTATCAGTGTAGTATCAATAATTGACAAAATATTGATTTATCTAAGTAGAAAAGCTGCCTTAACAGGAAACAGCTGTCGTATTTAATGTAGCAGAAAATGTTATCACCCAAAATAGAGAGGAAAGGATCGGTATTTTGGATATATAATTATTTTTTAATCTACTCGCACACCCCTACGGTTTCGAGATCGACTATTTCGTCTGTTAATGAAAAGTGGAGATCCCGTCTGTCATCTCCCCTGCTGCGGTCTCCGTCTCCGGGTCCAAAGTGCGATTGTATTTTTCCCTTTAATGACCAGGATGTAGTGAAGAATTATGACGGTTGTATTTCTCATGGCAGGCCCGTGGAAAGCTCATTTATCGATCGGTGAGTAGAAGGAACTTGAACAGATCTGTCGGAAAAAAAAGAGGACCTTCCACGTTGAGCTAACTCAGCAAATTGGAAAGATTCCGCTTGGAACTATACCAAATAAGGTGGTCAGGTTATTTAAAACCAATGAAGCTGTCAAACTAAATGTGCTTCTAGTACAGATACGGTTCTTGGAAGACATATATTTTTTAAGGCGTTCAACCACAGCCTGTTTCCAAAATGCACATGATGCTTTTGTGGACTGATGATGATTAACACTCAAAACATTTGGGACTTCTGTGAAATTATCACATTTTCTTTTAAACTGAATGAATGAATGTTTTATCTGTATATGAAATAAAATTGATCGAACGGCTTCATAATCGGTTAAAATACTGTTTGTCAAAACAGCGCTTATAAAAAAAAATATCCCTCCATTGTTCACGGAGCCCAACCATGATTAGCCAAAATCTGCAAACAAGTCACCCCTTAAAAGTGATTCAAGATGCCTAGATTAGTAGTTGAAACCATAAATGTTCCACAAACTATCATTCTGAAACACTTGACACCACAAACGACCATTTTGAAACACTTGAAACGCTCAAAGCATTTCAAGCACGGAACATACGACAAACATTGTTTTGCAACAGTAAGGTTTTACTTATAAAAGAAATTCAAATGGTGACACCCCCCCCAAAATAAATAAATAAAAATAAATATTAAAAATCAGTGGGTAGGTGAAATTGCCACTGGTGAACTACAATAATGCGGGGGTCCACTGTACCCAGAAATTTGTTTTAAACAAAAAGATTATTGTCGCATGATTGATGTGCTCTTTTTGGCAGAGTCACAGGAGAAAAGGTGAGCGTTGGCCATGGGGGCTCTCTGGCTGCATTGCTTGATCCTGACTGTGACGACAACATGGATGGGTGTGTGTGTGACACATGCAAAGCAAACAAGATGGCCTTTATATTCCCAGACACCGGTTCTCTTGGCTTGGAATGCACCCACACAGGACTGCGCCCCGAGGCACGGTGTCACTTTACCCCTGGACCAGTTTGACATTGTGGCCTCCCCCAACGAGGGCTTTGTCCGACAAAACCTGACCATATTCTACAAGGAGCGCCTCGGCCTTTATCCTTATTACGAGCGTGATGGCACTGCAGTTAACGGGGGCCTTCCGCAGCTTGCCAGTCTGGTTGAACACTATGAAAAGATGCCCGAAGGTGTTCAGAAATATATACGGGAACCAGGGGCCAAAGGTTTGGCTGTTATTGACTGGGAAGAGTGGCGCCCACTGTGGATCCGGAACTGGGATTCTAAAGACATCTATCGAAGTAAATCCCGGGAAATGGTGCTTAAAAAGAACCCAACCTTTAGCCCGGAGCAAGCTGCAAAAGTGGCCCAGCAGGAGTTTGAGCTGTCCGCTCGTAAATTCATGCTGGAGACGCTGAAACTCGCAAAGAATTTGAGGCCCAATCAAGTGTGGGGCTTCTACTTGTTTCCAGATTGCTACAACCACGACTACAGGAATGGCCTGAAGAACTACACGGGTCGCTGCCCCGAGCTGGAGGTGGCCCGTAATGACCAGCTCAACTGGCTGTGGATGGAGTGCACGGCACTTTTCCCCTCCATATACATGGGATCCGTGCTGCGCTCCACACATTACGGGCGCCTCTTCGTGCGCAACAGGGTGAAGGAGGCCATGCGCCTGGCGTCTGTTGGGGATGGCTTGGCGCGCCCGGTTTTCGTCTACACCCGACCTACATACATCAATCAGATGGCTCTCCTCACTGAGGTCAGTTCTGTTACATCACAGTCACGAGCAGTAAATGGTGAGACTCACCCGTCAGTCAGGTGTGCACGATCATAAAATCTTTGTCGACTATTAATTTTTTTAACTCATACAAGTGCGAAAAGGAGTTAATCAGTGTTTATCAATGTTTCAAACCCAGATTTTATATTTACTAATCTCTGTGACCTGTATTGGGTTTTGAGCTTTCACATACGATATACTATTCTGTTGCATTTGGCATTGAACCGCAAAATCATAGAGCAATTGTCAAGGAAGATGTGGATTGCCAGAAAGAGCGGAAATAGGCAACAATAAAGCAGAGTGTGTGGACATTTTGCAAGGCTATTGGCAGTGATCGATCACGCCATTCATTGACTGCACTCACGCATTTCTGCAACAGAGACTCTCAGAGACTCGCTTTGCTTTCTAGCCGCAGGTACCAATGAAATTCGAAATGTATTCTTGTAAAACACAAATTACAGGAAACTGTATTGCTATGGCCGTTAGTCATTAAATTGTTTATTCATCTTTACCTTGGAAGAAAAGAGGGTGCCGTGCCTGCGTTAGGAGTCTCTTAACATTATAATAGTGAGCGGACTTAGGTGGTAGACATAATGTCGATCTTTTATTGTTAATATTGACTTTTTATCACTTTACCCTTGTTGTACCACCTGTTCTGTGGTTAATTAACCCTTCTGTGGTGACATCACAAATTACTGTCATTTGCTCAAAAACATTCAGATTTTTCCCTGATTGGGAATCATTGCATTAAATTACTTCCAAGTGGAGTTTGGATTTGAAAGATATTTTTTGATACAATGGGCCTGTACTTTTTCTGACACAACTCTTATATATACACCTTGCAATTGTCTGCCACCATTCCAGAGTGGAACATGCCTCTTCTCCCAAAGTCAGCTGGGCTAGGCTCCAGCATACCTGCAACCCTATTGAGGACCAGCCCTATCGAAAAATGGATTGATACTTTTCAGAAAATGGAACTAAATTTGGTTTCCATACTGTAGAACCTTTAGGGTATTTGAAATTTGAGGTTGAACTGTGTTTGCCCAAATGTTCTGCTGCACCGGATATGAGGGTCGCAGTGGCCTTGCTTTTAAATAGCCATTTAGCGTTTGGCTGCCTTTTGCAGACAGATCTGGTGTCCACCATCGGTGAGAGCGTCGCCCTGGGAGCAGCGGGAGTGATCTTCTGGGGAGACTCGTCCTACTCGAGTGACAGTAGCTGCTCGGCCCTTAAAGACTATCTCAGCGGAGCGCTGGGTCGCTACTTGCTCAACGTGTCCACGGCGGCGCAGCAGTGTAGTCGGGCACAGTGCAACATGCACGGCCGCTGTCTACGCAGTCAGCCGGACGATGACGTGTACTTGCACCTCAGCCTGTCCACGCACAGCATCAGTTGGCAGGACGGCCACCTGAAGGTGAGCGGCAAGCCTGGTGAGCCGGAGCTGGCTCTTTTCCGTCAACACTTCCAGTGCCAGTGCTACACTGGCTACCAGGGGGAGGCCTGTGCTCTGAGAGCCAAAGGGCAGAATAAAGCCCCCTCTGTTCTCGGAACATGGTCGCTTTGCTTTTTACTCCCACTTGGACTCCTCACTCTGTTACAGTGAGGAAATGAAGTGACTTAAAATATTCACTGCGTGTGCCAAACAAACAAAAAAAATATAATAACAATAGTTGGGCTCTTTGACATGAAATTGTGCCAAGTTCCTGATCAATAATAATAACAATACTGCTGAGTCACCGTTTGTCACTTACTTTGTGTGCAAGTGGGATTTTCCAAATGTGGTCTTATTTTTTATTCACCCTCCCCAGGATCCTTCTAACAGAGTAGTGTGAGTGTGACTCAAGCTTCACGAGAAGCTCACCAAATGCTGGACCGCATTCTGTATTCATTTTTTCATGACTGCTCATAACTTTGTTCAAAATCCATGCAAAGCCCGCATGCTCCATGGTGTCCTTGACCTCCAGATGGTCACTCTCTGTCTTGACCAGAGTGTGTTTGTGAGACTGACGTTTTTGTTTTATTTCTTAAAACTGGAAATATGAGTGGAAGCTTTGTAAATGAAGATGAGCACTTTTTTTTTTACATGCTGCACAAACACATTTTAAATTGTTACTCACTTTGACTTCATCTAAAATCTGAACATTTCAATTATGCCGGAAGATGCTGAATTATTACAAATCATACAGATTACTTTGCAGAGTTATCTTCAGTGTTATAATAATAATTTCAACATTTCACATAACATACCCCTCATACCTCCCCCCCGATCTTTTTTCACTTCCAATTTATTTCCCTGCTACAATGTTTCAGATGTTTCTCAAAATAATATTTTTTGCTTTTAATCCTACCCTTTGCTTAAAAAAAACACACACACAACAACAACAACAAACAACAAAAAAAAAACTTGACCATGGCATGCCTGTATTTGTGCTTTTATCAATGATCCAAAACAATGTGGCTGGGCCTGAACTGTTTTATTTGAGAAATGCGATATTGCGGTCAAGAGTTGATTAGTTTGCAGATGCTATTGAAGTTTTGAATGCAGTGTTCATCTCAGCCTTCTATTTGTTTACAGTGTTTTGTAACAGTCCAAATTGCCTTCCAGTTTATCATTGGAAAAGTATATGAGTCTTTTGAGGAGGAAAGGGAAAGTAAAGATAATGTAACGCTTGAATGATGTAGATATCCTTCCATGTAGAGTCGTGAGGATAATGCATCTTTTCATCCTGCTCTGAAAAAAAAAACACCGTCAGTATCTCTTTTAATGTATTTGTTTTAATGGACAATTATTAACTTCAAATTACAGAATAGGTATTATTCAGGCTCAATTTAACTTTTAATTGCTTGCATGTTGTTTCCTGTCTGAGTTCCTGCTAATGCAGCTGTGACGACAGTGACTACTGAAGCTACATCAAACAAAATACAGTATATTTCTGTAGTCATTGTTAGCTGGCGCTAGCAAAACAGATTATATATCAAATTGGTTCCATATTTATCATGCCGATGGGCCGAGTAAAAGGAAATTACAAATGCTATTATGCAACACAATGTTTACAATGCTGCAAACTTTTTGAAATTCTGCACTTTAACACCTTTTCTGTTGAACAAGAGACTGCTGCGTAGTTTGTACAGGGACGATGAACAGTGCATTGTTGCATGTTTTTTTTTTCATTTGGTATTTACATTTTGTTGGAGAGTATTTGTAAGATTCTTTTTGCTCACATACTTTGGTGTTACCGTTTGAAACCAAACCAGAAACAAACATGCTTGATTACGTGTTTTTAATTCAGTATCTATGTAATGTTCTCAATTTCTTATTTTTTTATACATTAAAACACATTTGAATGTAAGTTTGAACGTGTACTGTCCTTTTCTATTTTAACTGTGTTTACTTCATGTGTAGTATTTGCTGAACAAACCTACGTTGTATTACGAAATAACACGCGCACATGTATTTTTAACACGTTTATGCCGTATTAGGTTACAGGAAATTACGTTTGTTGTTGTGTGCACCACTTTATGTAGTCCGTCAAGCAACAAAGATTTAAAAGGCCAGCGTTTTTAACATGCTCATCATACAATTTACATGTATCAACATTCGTGCATGACAGCAATTGCAACAAATTCTTTCAGAGTTGATTTACAAACTAAACACGACCTTGTTTGTAAAGTTACGAAGTACACATCGAGTGTCGCCTAGCTGCATTAAATTTCTTTTCGGGGTCTTGCATTTAATACTAAGCCAACCAACGTCAAGCCTCTTAAAAACAGCTTATATTAATTAACCAGAACAGTTTGAATCAGGAGACATGACGATAAAGAAGACAACATCGTCTTTTCGTCAGTGAGTGTCCTGCAGTGCCTTCTCTTGTTTCGGTATGTTTTACGCAGTTTTTAATAATTAATCATCAGCATCCCATTGAGACGCATAGCATACTTAGCTAACATTGTTAGCTTTGATTCACCTCAGGTTGGGATGGTTTGAGGAATTGATTTAGCAATATGATGATTATTGTGGTTGTAGTTGCTAGTGGTGTAGAAATACACTAAATCATACTTGGGGCTTGGCTTACTATTTTGCCACTTGACCAGTACATTCAAATGCGGTTGCACATCACTGTAAACTCGAAACAGCATTGTTGTTTTTTGAAGGGGGACGATTTAATACAGAACCTAATTGCCCCAAGGGGATAAATAAAGTTTTCTGAATCTGAATTTGAGAACTTGTATTGAGTACCATAAAACGTTCAGATTAATACCTATTATTAGAATCGCAAGTATATTCCTGGGTGTTAACATTTGTGGATAAGGAATTTATTTCCACAACAATTAATGTTTTTTTTTTTTTTTTTTAGTTCAGACACGTTTAATACATTTGCTTTGAATAAGATCCATAAATGCACCTTTTCCAGGTCGTACATTTCGCAGAAATGAATTTCCTGCGGAATCGTATGGTGGTCCTGGGCATGGTGTTATTGGCCACCTTACTGCTCTACCTGCTGCTGCCCTCCATGCGTCATGGCAACATGGAGCCGTCCCTCAATGTACAAAGACTTGGGCTCTTAGCCACATCCCCGCCTCCGCTTCCCAACATCAATGTGTCAGTTCGTACAGGACACCTGCCCGGGGACCCGCCGCTCTTTTTCAGAGAAGCCTTACCCATTGACGGGGCTGGACGACAGATACTGCCCAGGTGACAGCACAGCTGACTAAACTCTACAAATCTCTTAAACTCTCAGTTACAACTTCAACTATTAAAGTGAGGTCGATTCTCAGATGAGCGCTGTAACGCCATTTTATCTCATTGCAGGCTACAAGTGGTGCTTCTGCATGGCCAGGCCTTCACATCAAAAACATGGGAAGAACTTGGTACCATGGCCCTACTTGCGACTAATGGATATCAGGCCTTAGCCATGGACCTGCCAGGTACAGTTCTAATATAACAGTCAAGTTTAGAGGTTAATTGTACTGCAAATGCTGAATTAAATTGTGATGGCACACCCCTAATTTCAATAAAAGAATTGCAGATATGTGTGATCATGACTATTATATCACAGCAAAACCTAAAATTGGCTCACCGATGTGCAGTGTGCCCTCGTGGTTTAAAATAAGAAATATTTTCTTTGACCAACGGGAAATTATCAGTCTCTATTTCACATTTAAATTACACTGATGCAATATGTCTGTAATCTCTCTTTAATACCTTTTTTTCCCCAGGTTATGGTAAATCGCCCGACTCTGAGGCCCTAAAGCGAGATCAGAGTCGAGTGGACCTGCTCTCCAGGTTCATGGAGTCATTGGGTGTGAGGGCAGCGGTGCTTGTGAGTCCTTCCATGAGCGGACATTACTCCATCCCATTCCTTATGAAGAACAGCGCACAGCTGCGAGGCTTTGTTCCCATAGCGCCTGTCGGTACACGCAGTTACACGCCACAACAATATCAGAATATCCAGGTGAGTGAAGGTGCTATAACACAATAATTTAATGGGATCTAAGTCAAAATTCTGATGTAACTAAGATGATAATATGCAGTTTTGATTGCCATTGTCAGGCGGGTGGCACAAGATTTTCTATTAATCTTTATGCCAAGCTAACCAACTACAGTTGTATTTTGACTCCAATGTACTCTTCAGACACCCACCCTCATTGTGTTCGGAGCCCTCGACACTAACCTAGGCGCCCAGTCCCACAAGAACCTGGCCCAGCTTCCTCATCATGCTGTTCTCAAGCTGGACGGCGCTCGCCACGCGTGCTACATGGACAAACCCGGAACCTTTCACCAAGGGCTGATCGACTTTCTTGGCAAGCTGAAGTGAGATGGGCTGCATTAAAGATGGACTGGAAAAAACTGAGGAGGGACTTGGGTTTGCTTGGTATGAATTTAGTGAGCTTGCTTTCGGCAAAATACAATGACAAAAATTTTATTATTGTCATGAGACAATAATTACAAGCTATATGATATGGATAAAACTGAAGTAAGGCATGATCAGATTTCTTACTCTCCATTATTTATTCATCTTCATCATGAAACCATGTGTGCAATAAGCCCTCACTTGTACCGTCACGTGACATTTCTCTATGCATGCAAAAAAAACAAATTTTTTTAAGTTTGCATCAGTGTTGCCATTTTTGTAGGTGACATGAGAGTTGATGGCTGTAAATTGTGCAGAATGTGGCAACAGCAGGTGCATGTGCCCTGGGAAAAGCTTGTAGTCACTGTTCATTTGAGCCATTCCAACCCAGCGCAAAAGATGAAAAACAAAGCAAAACAGACACTCCTTGGAACGGAAACTGTGAGGAATTTAATATATAAAAACATGTTTGTGTATATGACAATAAAGTAGCAACTAATATACAGTATTTGCAGCAAGTGTGGACATTTTCATGTATGTAAATCAGTGTCCTAATTTACAATATATAAACTTAGAGACTGTTTTATATGCATGTTATTGAGCATTTCTCTTACATAGAACTCGACCCAAGGAATGACAAAATTTCTGTGAAATCTCAGGCTACTCTTGCAAAGTCACGCGTCCTGGTGCTTTGTCTGCAATCACTGACTTCCTCCACCCTCGCTTCTTTCACTCGAAGCAACTTTGACATTTATGTGGATAATGGCGTCGATCGCGCCTGTTACTTTGAAGGGCCCGGAGCTCGTGTGGTTGTAAAAGACTGGATGAATAATTGACAGGAATTTTCCACTCAAACAGCACTTTCTAATTACTCTGGTTGTCAACTGGTGTTAGCAGACACATTTTACAGGAAACTGAAACCATCAAACAAGGGCAACGTAAACCAGGGTATGTGTTCTTAATGGACTTACTGTACAGTAAATCTTCTTGTGTAGCTAATTAAGGTAACCAAGCAACTCCAATTTGAGCGGCTACGATAATCTATTCATGAACCGTTTCCAAATTATGCAATACCACGTGTAGAGCTCACTTGAATCAGCTGTGCTTTAAATGTCACTGTACGCCTGTCGTGGATTGAGTCAGCATTTGTCAAATACAGTGTATACATTGTTTTTAAGACGGGTGCTGATCTTGCAAAAGACAAATTTGATGTCCCTTCTCCAGCAGATAGAAAATAAACTGAAGAGCTTTCAAAGACGCAAAGGGCCACATTTATGACCGTGGATTCGCAGGACCTGAAATGCCACAATACAGCGGAAATAAGTTTCGATAACTTTTTTTTTTTTAGGAAATGTTCACGTGACAGTTGTACTGTGTTGTGGTACAGTACTGTACATTACGATAAAACGTCTGCGGCAATTCTATCCAGGGAAAATAGAACAACAAATATATACTATTAAATAAACAAAGTATGTACATTATAGAATATATTAATTTAGGGAAAAGAAACTGACTGAAAACAATGTGTTTCTGTATGCTTCATTTCCGTCGGTGGGGGTTTTCTTTTTAAAATTCCATACTGGAACCACAATGAGATGTGTTGGATTTCAGCCAGAATGTAAGATTTTATGTCTTCCAATCAGAAACGATCACGAACGTCTGACTAGATTTGAATCGCTGTTGTTAGCTTTTATTTTGAAATGAATTTTCCAGCTGTCTTTACCGTACTGTTGAAATAAAACGTGCGGCGAATTTTGAGTGCTAGCGTCTACCGCCACTTGTTTATGCCCGAAAAGCGGCTCGGCGGTTAGTTGACAGCGACTCAGCCCGGTGAGTACTCGTGCTGACCTTCAAAGACCATCAGAATAAACCTATTTGAAAGTCACCTGTAAAGTGCTTTATAAATAAAGTTGAGTTGAGTGTACTCTGCTTGTCAACTACACGGCTAGCGCCTTTAGCGGCTACCTTCCACATTGTACGTCTGTTTATGCGTTATCAGAGGACGTCGCCATGCTACCTGACAAAGAAGACGGAGACGGATCAGGGGGAGCAGGTGGACAAATTATGTCTCCCAAGGGTGAGGACCCTTCTGTCAGTCTGTTCAGAGAGTACCTCCGCCTCAGGACGGTGCATCCAGAGCCAGACTATGGTAAGTTTTCAACTTGACATGAGGGGAATGTCATTTAACAGACAAAACAGTTAGACTGGCAGACTCATTCGGAGAGATCCATTCTGAGAGCTGCATTAACAATGTTTAGTTATAATGACACTTTACAGAATGTTTCCAAATCTGACACAGTAGCAAAAGGAAAAAAAAAAACACACACACACACAGAGGACTCTCAAAGTGTTTTGCAATGTTAAAATACACAAACCCAAAAGTGGTGAATATACAGCATCTCTCAAAAGTCAGTTCACTCCTTAACATTGTTGTCAATTGTATTATATCTTTCCTTGGGTCTACACTGAAAAAAAACAAACAATTTCAATCATTTAAAATAGAGAGCTCCAGTCTAACTTTTTACCTGGAGCACAGTGGGTCCTGATCTTAAATTTTAAGAGCACACACTAAACCAGCTAGTCAAGTAAGTAAACGTTCACGCCGCTCATTTTCACTATAATTAAATAAATAGGCTGAATTGTGGAGCAGAACTTTGTCAGCAATGAATAAAAGTCAGCAGACTGCAGACCTAATGAAAATTAAGAATAAGAACACCTTTATTTGTCTTACAACAGAGAAATTCCAATTTACATTGAATGAACGAATGAATGAATGACACCAGAACCACCAAGTATGGAGTGGACTGACCACTTAAGGGCTATTAATGTATTTATTTATTTTTATGATTGTTTTTGTTACTGAATTCTAAATTAACAGGAAGTCAGTGCAATTACAAGTCGTAAACTTACTCAAGTCGTAAACTTACTCGCTAATTAGATGGTGTTATCTGACGACTGGTTGTTTCAGTGCACAGTAAAAAAAAAAAAGTCCCAGTAATTAACACCTCACTCCTAAAGGTGTTGCCCATATTCATAGTTTAACACATAAATATAGTACTACGTTTCCAAAACACTTGAATGTCGTTTCAAACTCATTTTACAACATTACCCTAAAAATATGTGGCTAACAACCCCGGCTAACCTTTGCTGATCACCAAACAGACCTCCGTCATTTCGGCTCAATTCACTTCCTTGACACCAATTACTAATTTTCAATGCGCCGGGGCAAAATGCACCTTGGTGTGTTTTTCAGTAAATAACCGAAAATAGGTTTCACATAAAAAAAAAAAATCCAAGGTAGATTCGTAAATAGTGAGAAGCAAGTAGGCGGGCCTGCACTCCCATCTTTAAACAACCTGTTCATATCGACACCTTGTGCTTTCTTCTAATGCCTCATTTCTAGATGGCGCACTGCGGTTTCTGGACAGAATTGCAGTGGAACTTGGGCTGCCTATCAAGAAGATAGAGGTGTGTTTCCAAGATTACACATTTCTTTCCTTCCAACAATTAGAAAAGTGCTTATTCTCTTTTGATTTGCCACTATAGAATAAAAACACACAATAAACTGATTTTACATACATTGGCATCTCAACTTGGGTACCGTCCATGCTTTTCAGGTGCAGGACGACCTGCCAGAATTAGAAATCATATTTGTTGCCAACTAAAACTCATATAAAATCCAACAACGGCTTTGTCCAAATTCCTATGCTGCGTCATCGTGAATGTGAGTGTAAATGGTTGTTTGTCTGAATTTGTCCTTTGAGACGCTGGCAAACAGGCCTCTTGCCTCGAGTCAGCTGGGACAGACTCCAGGTCACCTGCAACCTCAGTGAGGAAAAGCGCTGTTGAAAATGGATGCATGGGTGTCAACACCGCTTGCCCATTATTTTCTGTCGACATATCCAAATACAGATTTGTCATTGTCCTCTCCAGGAGCATTGGATACATGACGCTTTCAGTGCTTTCAAAGATGCGGAAGGCAACATTTACCGCTTTTTTCATCACTCGCCATTGCCATGTATGATTAATGTATTTATTTATTATTATTATTATTATGATTATTTTTATTACTGAATTCTAAAATTAACAGGAAGTCGGTGCAATTACAAGTTGTAAACTTACTCAGGTCGTAAACTTACTAGCTAATTAGATGGTGTTGTCTGACGACTGGTTGTTTCAGTGCACAGTAAAAAAAAAAGTCCCAGTAATTAACACCTCACTTCTAAAGGTGTTGCCCATATTCATAGTATAACACATAAATATAGTACTACGTTTCCAAAACACTTGAATGTCGTTTCAAACTCATTTTACAACATTACCCTAAAAATATGTGGCTAACAACCCCGGCTAACCTTTGCTGATCACCAAACAGACCTCCGTCATTTCGGCTCAATTCACTTCCTTGACACCAATTACTAATTTTCAATGCGCCGGGGCAAAATGCACCAATGCATATTGGTGTGTTTTTCAGTAAATAACCGAAAATAGGTTTCACATTAAAAAAATCCAAGGTAGATTTGTAAATAGTGAGAAGCCAGTAGGCGGGCGCTCACTCATAAAAAAAAAAAATCCAAGGTAGATTCGTAAATAGTGAGAAGCAAGTAGGCGGGCCTGCACTCCCATCTTTAAACAAGCTGTTCATCTTGAAACAAATGGTTCGACCCCTTGTGCTTTCTTCTAATTCTTCTTCGAATGCAAATTCTTTAAACAAGCTGTTCATCTTGAAACAAATGGTTCGACACCTTGTGCTTTCTTCTAATGCCTCATTTCTAGATGGCGCACTGCGGTTTCTGGACAGAATTGCAGTGGAACTTGGGCTGCCTATCAAGAAGATAGAGGTGTGTTTCCAAGATTACACATTTCTTTCCTTCCAACAATTAGAAAAGTGCTTATTCTCTTTTGATTTATAGAATAAAAACACACAATAAACTGATTTTACATACATTGGCATCTCAACTTGGGTACCGTCCATGCTTTTCAGGTGCAGGACGACCTGCCAGAATTAGAAATCATATTTGTTGCCAACTAAAATTCATATAAAATCTAACAACGGCTTTGTCCAAATTCATATGCTGCGTCATCCAACGGCCAAATTAGAAAGTAACTTCTGGTGTCCTTTGACTGCACGCCAGTGTCCAAATTCACGCGGCCTTCAAATCTGGCCTTTCTTTCCATGGAGACGGTCGCTGAGGGAAATGTCTGTTTCAGAGTAAATTTTCATAGCCTACTTTGCTCCGCTCTTCTACGCTGCTTCAACACTTGGTCTCTTCTATGAGACGAGCACATACTACACTATCTGGTGGCTGTACAGAAGACAGTCAAGTGAGTCGCTTGGCCTGTCCCAATTCGCCAC